CCCGGATCTATAATAGAGGATATATATCTTTTTCCTTATTGCCCCCTTGGATTTGAACTCGCCAACTCGATCTACTGACATTAGAGTTTTGACAAAGGTGGTGATACAGCGCAAGGATTAGTCGGTCCACTTCTACAGAGCCCCGCATGGTAGAAGTAAGGAAGACGAGAATACAATGGGTTCCTAGTACCGCAAGGTTGAGACCAGTCTTCTATCTAGCCACGCATCCCTTTGACCTGGTCCCGCCATCATGTTAAAGTTGTCTCCTGTTGGTCCCGGTGGTTAAGCCAAGATCCCCACACCCTCTGCCCGTGATACATGACCATAGACAGTAGGGGGTGTAGTCCAGACAGGGTAGTCCACGGGTAGATGGACAGGGTAGTCCCATCCGGCATCGTTATACGTCTTGGTGTAATTCCCTGGACACGACATTACAGCCAGGAACAAGAGTAAAATTGCCAGAGGGGCCAGAGGGGATTCCCCTTACACCTTACTAGGAGCTTCCCCACCAACGACAAGGTCTCGCATCTCCTAGAGGAAGGAATACTATGTTACTTTTTTATGAAACTAGTTCTCTTAATTCCTGAAATACAATGTGACATTGAAAATATTGCATTTTTCGATCCTCTTCGTATCTGATGCGTACATTGGTGTGAAAATCGCATCTTGGTATCTCTATTTATAAACAAAAAACCCTGTAAAACACACGAAAATGGGACACCTTGTAGAAGGTTCATAAAGACCGTGAAATAAAAATATTCTTAAGTATAATCGCCTATTTATCTATTATAACCAAAAACAGCGAACTGCTTTAGTTAATACGATATTGTCCTTCAGGGTCCACCGGATTTATTTGTTTTTTTTTTACTTCTTTATAAGTGCAAAGGAACACCATTAGCATAAACAAAAAATAAATCTTTGAAAAATTAAAGAAGCAGGAAGTCAATTAAGTCACATAAGATAATACAAAATAGCGTCTGGCATTGACATTTGTTTATTTTCCCAAAAATAGGGTAGGTACAATTATTAGAATATATACAATATGATCGAAAAAAAAAACGGTGTTAGCGATGGCTATGAAATGGAGATCACTGTCATTTATTTATACGTAAAATTATATGTGGAATATGTCATCGATGTTCATTTCCAAGCTGGAGGCCGTTTTTTTCGTTCACACGGTACTATTATAAATGTCTAAAAAGAAATTATTTTAAAATATATAGGTATTACCAATAATTCTTTACAACAAATAATATTTCATTTCAAAACAAGTTTGATGTTCCCTAGATCACGAAATTTAACAGCGCTGTGGAACTAAGTTATAATATGGATAATGATGCCTTGGGAAATGGAAATTACATAAAGAAAAAACGGAAACCCTGTTTGTTAGGCCTGGTTATTAAATTTCAGCTAATAAGTTGACAATTAAAAAAATATTTTCAGCAAACAATATATCTACAAGGTGCCCCAATATTCTCTGAATATAGAACTATTATATTATTCTTGTAAACAACACATTTTTTCGAAGCTCACTAAGCTGACTTACAAAAAATGTTTGTTGCCACATCTAGCTATATAGGCCATAAAATTTCTAGTAGGTATGCGCTATTAATTTAGTTGGGGATAATATGAAATTTTATGCTAGTATTACAAATGGGTATTTGAAAATAAATAAATTTCAAATTAATTAATGTTCGGATTTATTTTTGATCGATGCCCTCTAACGGGCAAACGAAGCACTTTTGTATAGAAGTAAATTGTGTCCAATTAACTTACTTTGACTCAAAAAATACTTAGTTGTTCTATGTCCACGGAATATGGGAACTCCCTGTATATTCTATAGATCTGCTTTGGGAAAAAAATCTCCAAATTTTTTTTCTCAAAAACTTTACGATATGGAATTTTTTACAAAAGACAGAAAATGTAGTAAATACTACTTCATTTATCTTTCTTTTGCGAAAAAAAGCCTCATAGACGTGTTTCTTTAGTCGAAGTATACCACCCACCACCCCTAAAAATATTTGCACTTATTTAAGACCCACCCTGTATAACTGTTTCTTTAATTATAATGTTGAAACCACAGAGCAAAAAATATAAGTTGAAACATTCGTTGAATTTTAATACTATATATTTGTTACAATTAACTGCAATTTTTGTACTTTCCGAAATAAAAAAAATACGTATTTTAGATTTAATAGAGTGTAAATGTATTATTTAAAATATATATTATATAGGTAATTATGAGAATACTATTGTTTTAGATACTAATAAAAACAGAATATTCGTCATGAGATGTCTTCAATCGCTAATCAAAAAATGTACATAATATTGTGTAATTTAAAATAATAAACTAATAGTCCAGTCATCTTAGTCGAAATTGAGTAGGAATCTCGGAATTCAAGATAACCGGCTGTGAACTCGTATAAACCTTTATTTTAGCATAGAATAAGAGACCTTTTTTATGTAAAAAAAGTTGTAAATGTATATTTTTTTACTCAATAGTTTTATACAGGTATGGACGAAAAGTTATTACTCTTCAAACCAGTTAAAACATATGTGGCGCCCTCTACAAGTAGGAGTCATATTGACATGAAAATCAAATTTCTCACGTCAAAAAACTCCCAGACACCAATTTTCATCCAAATATTGATATTACTTCAGAAATTATTTGAAAAAAATCGAAATAAAAATGAAACTTCTACACCCTGTATCTCCGAAACTAAGCATTTTAAGACATACATTTATTCGAACTTTTTTACATATTTTTATCTACAGAATATGCTGCCGAAGTTTCCGGAATACAGTTCGGACCACCCTGTATAACGTTATTTAGGTCGTTTTTATGACTTAGGTAAGTCAATATTTTTGACAAATCAAGATGATCCGCAAGCTAAGTCAATAAAGTGACTAACATTTTATTTGCTAGTGGTATTGAGAATTTTTTATTCTGCTGCTTGGTTGCCACCGAAAGGTACATTCAGGGTGAGAGCGGCGAGCGTCGCGTCACTTCTTGTTTCACCGGAAATGACTACAACTTTTGATTTTTAAATAACACCTTCGGTATTTTATTACTTTATTCGATAGAAAATGACATTCTGAATAGAATGGCATATCATATGTCAACTTCTGACATTCTCACTTAATAAAAAGTCGCATTTTAAATTTCAATCTAGAGTGCCATGGTTATGTTAAAAACACTAATTTTTAATCAAGGAGCCTTGGAAAAATAGATTTGATCGTCTAATGTTTTTAGTGTCTTGTCCTGGCCGATTAAAAGATGCCCAAATCGTATTTTCAATCATATCTCAATTTTTTCAAATAGAACGAGGGTGGCTCATTGTCATATTTGGGAAAAGCATTTTTTTACGAATAATTTGATACCACACACTTGGAATTTCGAGTCAAATTGTCGTTACGAATCGCAAGTTGCGATTTCAAATAAAGCATATTCGAAAATGTTAAAAGTTGACGTATGATATGTCATTCTATTCAGAGTGTAATTTTCTATCGAATAAAGTAAAAAAAAATCGAAGGAAAAATATCAAAAATTGTAATCATTTCCGGTGAAACAGGAAGTGAGCGAAAACAATTGAATACGTCAATCAATCCTAATTTATGTCGTATACTAACATACGAAATCTCGTTTTATCTCAAAAAATAAAAAAGTTACAAGGGTGAACCACTTTCGAGACGCACCCGGTATAAAGACTTAAATCTTTTTTTTATGACTTAAGTTTTTTCTAAAAATATCTATTTTTTTTTTCTATTTCGGAATGAAGATTTAAATCACAAGTCATTTTGAAACAGACTCAAATTTAAAGTCTTAAGTCAGCTTTCGAAAAATAACTTAAAATCAAGTCAATAAAATGATTTAAATAAAAAAAAGACTAAGCGTAGTTTACACGGGCAAGTAAATTATCGCAAGTATATGTCTGAGAGCACTCCTACCAAACTTGCATAATGTAAACAGTATCCGAAAGCACTCTCCCAGCAAGTCACAAAACTGGCGGGGAAGTGGTTGCGACGAAAGACGCTTGCAAGTGTAAACAGGTTGGGAGAGTGCTCTGGCAAGTTAAAATTAATTTCCGTCTTGTTGAAAGTTTTTGGTGCAAGTGATTTTCGAAGGAGTGTTAAATATCGATATTAAAATGGAGAATGTGGTCGAAAGAAGAAACCATCACTTTGATTAATTTATTTGAAGGATTTCCGGAATTGTGACAAAAAAATCGAAAATTTACAGAGATAGAGCTAAAAAGCAAAAAACAATCAAATTTATAGCTAACAAATTCAACACAACTGAGGCTGAGATTCAGCGGAAGCTACATAATATTCGTACCCAAGCAAATCAGGAGTGGAACAAAATTATAAAAAGAAAAATTAAAATCAACTTCTGACATTCGCAGAAAATTGTTTAAATGCTTTGGGTCTTCATTTCTTATTTTTTTTTAATAACATCGCGTAAGCTCCAAGACTATGTCTTCTGGCAATCCATTCTTTAACCCATACTCTTTTTCTAGATTTTCTTGACTGTTTGCGTAAAATTGCAACAAGAAGAGCAGTGGCTGCTCTTTTTACGGCGCGACATTTTTCTACTAAACAATATACTTGTGCAATATACACCATACCGTGTATACGTGCATGCAATTTCTTGCTCAAAGCACATGCTTAGAAAGTACTTATTGCAAGGAATTGATTTAAAATTTGCTTAAATGTAAACAAGTTACAATTATTATAGTTAACAATCGCAAGTTACTCTAGCGAGTTCTATCGCAATTTTCTATCCCTATATAAGTTTTCTGTGAGCTTGCAGCTATGGACCCAACACACCCATACACTGACGTTTTTAACTGTCTTGTCCGTTCGGTTAAAACCGGGCAAAATAACCGAACTGTATGGGGGATTCTTTACGATTCCATCCCGCTCTCACCCATGCTACTACCTCTCACCATCACACGCAAACACACGTACCCACACACCGACGCACAGAAGCTATAAAAGTGACGGTGGCGCGCTACCGATTCAGTTGGTATAACAAAAACCTCAGTGGTCAAAGAGACAAGCGGGTTCCAGTGGTGGCACTCATCCGACCGAAGAGAATCACAAAGACCGTCCAAAAGTCGAAATAAATAGGCAAAATGAAGAGCTTCATCGTTTTCGGGCTTCTGGCTGTTCTCGTGTTCGGTGCCGAAGAGAAGAAGAAGGACGATGCGGCGGCCGCGGCTCCTGCAGACGAAGATAAGCAGAAGACTTACAAAAGATTGATCCCAGCTGATGTATTGAGAGGTACGTGAATTTTTTAGAGCAAAACTGATTCAGAAATATTTATGGTGTTTCTTAGCTTAGAACCTTATAAGAAAAAAATTATATGAACATTAGATTTAAAGTGCTTTCTTTTTGATCTAGAGGGTGTTAAAAATTTAAAATTTAAAAGAAGTCGAATTTAGTTAACTTAAAAAAATAGTACGCCATTGAGTTTTTTTTAGAATACAATTTCTGTTTATTAATTGTCAATACTTTTGTAACAAAATTGATCTCTTGAGTTTCTATTGTGCGTTGAACGGTTTTCGAGAAAAAAAAAGAAAAAAAATTAAACCCGCTTCGATATTAAAGAATAGGTACTCGTTTTCCGCTATTTTGAGTTACGCAATGTAGTTGATTTTTTTTTCTCGAAACCCGTTCGATGTACAAGAAAATTTTAAGAAATCTAACTTGTTAAAAAAAGATGAGCAATCAGAAAAAAAATTGTTTTCTCGAAATTAATCAATAGCGTACCATTTATTTTAATCAAATAATCCAGGGTTGTATATGCACAGACGCCATTGGTTCAAGAAGAAAAACAAAAGTTAATGGAAATGAAAAGGAAGTTCGTTTCTCTCTCTCTCTCTCTCTCTCCCATTTAGGGTATCACTTTCCATTAGGGTAGAAAGTACTACTGGTGGTACTTCTTTTATCCCTATAGATACAGTAATTTCAACAAATGACATAAAAAGCTAGAACTTTTTTATGTAAAACAGGTGCTCTTCGTTTAGTTCGAAACGGTGAAAGGTTGTCAAGATATTTGCGTTTAAAGATTACGATGTTTCAATTTTAGTATTAGTGAAATGATAAAATGTAAAGAAATTTTAAATAAATTAACCTGAGAGGGGCGCGCAAAGGTGTATTTTTAATTAACACCTCCAAACTGTTTTCTGAAGGCTGAAAATTTGTAGATAACATTCGAATGCAATATAAAACAAAAATATAAGTCAGACAAAGCAGTATAGGGGACACAAACCGTCAGCGCTACCTCAAACACGCTGTCAAAAAATTTGGTCACTCAAAGTGATTTCTGAATACTGAATACTTTGCAAGGTAATAGTGAAAACAATATATTTATTAATAAAAACAGTCAGACTCGTCGATAATAGAACCCCGTCAGTCAGCAGCTGATGGAAGTGAGAATAGTGATAGCGCTCGTATAGGCGGGTCTTTACTCAACAATATACAGGGTGGTTCAAACTGTATTCCACTTCAGCACTATAATTTGCAGATAAAAATAAGTATAAAAGTATGTCCTAAAACGATTGGTTTCGGAGATACAGGGTGTAGAAGTTTCATTTTCATTTCGATTTTTTCCAAATAATTTCTGAAGTAACGTCAATATTTGGATGAAAATTGGTGTCTGGGACTTTTTTGACATGAGAAATTTGATTTTGATGTCAATATGACTCCTACTTGTAGAGGGGGCTACCTACATATTTTTTAATTGGTGGGAAGAGTAATAACTATTCGGCCGTACCTGTATTAAACTACTCAGTAAAAGAATATACATTTACGACGTTTTTTACGTAAAAGGTATCTTGGTAAAAATCGCTACGAGTAATGCTTTTCAAGACATTTTGAATCTAAATTATCAATACCTGTCATCATTGACATAAATTAAACCTACGCGTTGACTAAATAGTTATTAGACTGAAATCATAACTTTGAAAGTTTGTGTACCAAAAGTTCAACAGAAACTGTTTTATCATCATTTTTTCGAAGAAAAATTTATGATTAATTTACAAAAATAAAAAGTTCCCAAATATATCATTTCAGTCAAATAACTATCTGATCAACATGTTTATTTTATGTCAATAACGAAATGTATTGACTATTTCCACTCGAAATATCTTGAGACCTACCTATTCCTCGTAGCGATTTTTACCAAGATACATTTTTTACTGAACGGAAATGTATATGTTTTTTCTCAGTAGTTTTATACAGGTACGGACAAAAAGTTATTACTCTTCAAAACAGTTAAATCACATGTAGGTGGCTCCCCCTACAAATAAGAGTCATACTGACATCAAAATCAAATTAGTTATGTTAGTTTAGCGACAGTTGTTAAAATTTTTGAAAAGGATAGGGCTGAAAAGGTTACAGTAAAACACAAGAACAGTTAACCTAATAGGACTGCTCATTCAGCCAAAAGTGTCCGCCAGGTGCATGCGAAAACTACTCGCTATGTGACGTCATTGTAGTCCTTGTCATGGTTATTAGTCCTTATCCGGCAACCATTAATACACACACGTGCATTATTGGTTGCCGAATGCAAAACGTTTATTATTTAGTTTATTTATTTAAACACCTTATATCTATGCAGTATAGAAAATTAACTGTATAAATCGTATTAAATACTCGGATAATGCATTTTTAAGAACAGCAGTTCCCAGCATCACCTTGTGCAAGCATTCTTTTTAGAGTACTTTCATATTTTGCTTTAAAATAATTAATAAACAATATCGTAGGCACTTAGTAAGCACTTTGTCACAATCCACAACACAAAATGAACGTATTTATACACTTTATAGCTCTAAAAACTTTATTGACACCTTTTCACTTTTAAAATTGACAAAATGATTAACTCAACATTTCTCAGCTGTTATTTTTATAAGTTTACCATAGGCAACTAATAATACACACTATCATGACAAGGACTACAATGACGTCACGACTGTCAGCTGAAGCGCGGGAAGAGGCGAACGTACGTCTTATGAGGATGAGCAATCCTATTCATAGATCCTATTAGTTTACAGTTCTTGAGTGAAACAGTCCTATTGACCCTCAAAAATCTAATGTAATGTGTAATGTAATCACTGTCCACCTGTGTTTAGCAAGTTTTTTTGACCCAACTCAAAGTAATAGAGCAAATTCCAAATTATATATGGAACAAAAACACTTCACTAATAAAAAACTTGACTAATGCAATTCTTTTCAAAGCTGTTGACTTTTCAACACTTCTGGAATTTTCTAAACTGCTAGATACATCATAGATATTTCATTAAAGTGCCAAACCTGAAAATACTCACCTATTGATCTAGAAAACAAACAATTTTTAACGCAAACAGTACGGGCGATATGCCGTTACGTTTGCCAACCACCCACACGTCTTGAATCAGAAATTAACCATGATATGAACTTAATTGTTTCTTCTTTATTATTGTCATTTTCAATTTAAATGCGTCGTTGCATTTATATGATCCGATTGCGAGATAGGTTATTAAAAGAACTTTTATTTTATGTCTCAAGGTGGTGGGTCGGCTCATTTGCATTTATTCCTCTGCAATAATAACATTCCTGGAATTATAATGTTTAGTAAGCAAGTGCGTGTTGGTGCATTTTATTCGTAGTAACTAGAGCAATTAAAATAGAAGCTAACATTTGCTACATTGTTAAAATTAAAATAAAAATAATAATCTTCTTTTATTTTTATTTCTAGAATTATATTTTTATTTCTTTAGTTATTTTTATTGTTGATTCATTATTTTTGTTATAAAATTTTTGGAGAATATGCAACGTTATGATATAAAAGTATAAAATGTACTTTTGATTTATAAAATTTATACATTACATTTTTTTAAATTAATTAGGTCTCTTACCTAAATGTTTTTATCCAAAACAATACTAATATACCAGGTGCGTCTCAAAAGTGGCTCACCCCTATAACTTTTTTATTTTTTTTTCAGATAAAACAACGAAATTTGGTATATTAGTATATGACTTAAATTAGGAATGATTAACATATTTAATCGTTTTCGGTCACTTCCGGTTTCACCGGAAATTACTACAACTTTTGATTTTTAAATGGCACCCTCGGTATTTTTTTATTTTATTCGGTAGAAAATGACACTCTAAATAACATGACGTATCATATGTCAACTTTTGACATTTTCACATATGGTTTATTTGAAATTGTAACCTGCGGTTCATAACGACAATTTGACTCGAAATACCAAGTGTGTGGTATCAAATTATTCATAAAAAAAATCTTTTTCCAAATATGCTAATGAGCCTAATGCTAATGCCACCCTCGTTCCATTTCAAAAAATTGAGATATGATTAAAAATACGATTTGGACATCTTTTAACCGGCTAGGACAAGATACTAAAAATATTAGACGATCAAATCAAACTTATAGACCAAACCAAAACAGTTCTACTGATTTTAGTCCTTTTGTAGTACATGTTGCATAATAGTTACTATATTGTTGTAATTTTTTTTTATACTACAAATAAATGATATATTATTATTATATTATATAAATCTATTTTTTCCAAGGCTCCTTGATTAAAAATTAGTGTTTTTAAAACATGACACTCTAGGTTGGAATTTAAAATACAATTTGTTTTTGAGCGAATATGTCAAAAGTTGACATATGATATGTCATTCGATTCAGAATGTCATTTTCTATCGAATAAAGTAAAAAAATACAGAGGGTGCCATTTAAAAATCAAAAGTTGTAGTAATTTCCGGTGAAACAGGAGTGACCGAAAACAAAACAATTATTGAATACGTCAATCAATCCTAATTTGTGTCATATACTAACATACCAAATCTCCTTTTTTGTCTGAAAAAAAAATAAAAAAGTTATAGGGGTGAGCCACTTTTGAGACGCACCCGGTATATTCGATACCAATTAAACTTTTAGTTACGTATTCGAGGGCGCGATTTTTAAGTTCATTATTGCTAACCATGGGCACATTCGGCGCCGGGCTGACTAACTGATGTGGTAGCTCTGCCGTAAAAGTTGCCAAAAGATTAATAGCAACTTTATTGGATTATTTTTAACGGGAAAGCGGTAGTAAAAGCCCTTTATGTCCGTTAAGTGCTGTTAAGGGGGTGAATTTTTTTATGTAAATAATAGCTGTTTTTATATTTATAATTAATTTATTTTTGTTTCCTAAAATATTTTGATTAAAAGAAAATATGTAAAAGTGGGCAGATCAAGTTTAATCACGTGACTAAAAGTTTATTAATAAATA